CCTAGAATATTTAGTATTCTAGTACTTGTATTCTTGACTAGTACCACTCAAATAATGCTGCTTTTCAAATACATCCAAGGAAAACTATTAGTTAACCAAAGAACCTTCAAGATAAGAGGGAAATAGAAATTCTAATTTTTGTTTTGTTAGTTTGTGTATTGAAATTAACTCATGCTAGGTATTAAGCTAAGAAAATTACTTTCTATTTTGAATAACTTGACAGCGTGGAAAATTTTCCAGCAGCATTTAAGATTTAGGAATACGATGATAAAGTTGGTGATTCTGTTGAGAACTTTTTACATTTGCTTCAGTTTCTCTAAAAAGTTTGCAATTAGTAATTTCAGTAAAACCGCTTTGTTGTGTCATACTGTTCAGTGAGCTGAAGCCTTTAGGAAAACAGCATGTGGAGAGAGACCCAGGGTGTCATAGCTGAGAACATTGGCACGTGTCCCAGAGAAAGCAAGGCTGGAAGCTTTTAGTGTAGTTAAAAGATGCCGGTCTGTCATTTGCATCCACTGTAATTGGGCAAGCGGTTTCAGACTGAGCTTTACATTATATTTCCACTGAGAGCAGCTGGTGGAGGCCGCAGCTTCCATATGAGTTGGGGACCTATCATCTGGTGTATTTTATGCCATCCTGCTTCATCTTGGGAGCAATTTCTTATGAGTGATAATAATAATGTGCAATCTTGGTGAAAGATAATGCTTGTGGTTAGTAGAATGTGTAGTCGGAGTAGGGACTTTAGGGTAAAGGGGTTGTGAGGAGCAAAGGGGAGAAGACAGTTCTTTTTCAGAATGAGAGAGCTATAAGAATGATTACTTCAGAGTCTTAAACAACATATCTATAAGATATTAGCTTTTCAGCAGCAGTAAAGCCAAGTGTCCAATCCCCAGCTTCTTATCTTTGGACGATTACTTTTTTTGTTTGTTCTGTGGTTTTTATTATATTTTATAGCCAGAAGGCATGTGTATTTGCCTGAGAGAGACAGAGACAGAGACAGAGAGAACAAAACATCCCCAGTAGGATGTGGTCATACTGCAGTTCCTTTTGCATTTCTCCATCCTGTCGGGGTTTTGGTATTCACAAACACGTGTGGGGTTTGACTCCATTAACCACTGGAAACCAGCCCTTTGTGTTTCTTTTTGTTCGAAAAAAGGAAAGTCAACCTTCTCCCCTAGGGATGTTTGTAAGCCTGTCATCCTTCATTAGTGATTGTACCAATTTGATCATTCTTTCCACCACTACTGCCTGTCTACTTTTCTTCAAAGAATAATTTCCGCCATCATGTTTCTACTTTTAATTTCCAGTTAGTTTTCTGCAAGACTGAATTTATATAAGATTATAAGGTTTATGGACAAAATAGACCACTCTGTTGTAAGAGCCATCTTGATTCATTTTGTTCTTTTGTGTTTGATTTGACTGATGTGGAATTTGAGAAGTAGGTTACACCTTAATAAGGATATCTGGCCAGAACGCACTAACCTTATTTCAGAATGACAGTGCTTTGGCAGTTGCTCAGTTTCTCTCCTTTCCTAACCTGTCCCTGTTTATTAAGACTTGGGCCACTGCAGCTGAACCATCTCCATTTTCCTCAGAATGCTCTTTCATTTTTCCTTGGTGGGAGAACATGAGTGCCCCTAAAATGGTGATTTGAGTTTGCTGAGAATTTTAGGGGATCCACAGAATTGAATCCCCTAAATTCACTGTTAGGGAATCAGTGAAGTGTGAGGGTTTCTGCTGTGAGAATGTCCTGGAACAGGTAGATTGAGCAGGTAGGGTGGGGAGATTCCTTGCACAGTTAATTTTTAGCTGTTAATAGTGGTGATACAATCTGTTTTAGTCAAGATGAAGAAAAAAGAAAAACATTAACATCTTGATGGGGAAATCCCAATGTTGTGAGCTTAATCTAGCAATTCCAAATATGTTAAATACTTTTTAAAGATAACAATTTTTTTTTTTAAAGTTTGTTTCTTCAATGAGAAAGAGAAGAAAGAGTCAGCACTCTTACCCAGGTGTTGATGCCATGAACCAACCCCAGCCTCAACCAGCTCCAGATCATGGGCATATATGTGCCCAGTGTGTTCAGGGAAGTCTCTGGATGCAAACTCAGAACCTTCCCCTGTGGGTCAGCCTCACAGAGCTTTACATCTCACTGATGCATCTCCATCCAGCCCCTCAAGATACACTTGAACCCTTGTTGCAATGCATTTACTTGTTGAGTGGAATTTTGTATTAGACAGATTCATTATGAATCTTCCTACCAATGAAAATCTTCCTCTTGCTTTCTTACTTGAAAATCTTCAATACCCCACAGCCTCTGGATTATGTTCACAAAGACCCTAACAATCTTTTCAACTTGATCTTCCACCATTGTCCATGTTCTAGCCAAGTTCTAACTATACCTACTTAATTTCATTTGCGGTTGTGCCATTTTATGTTTGGATTCCAAGCCTCTTGTCTTCCTTGTTGGCATTTTGAGGTTTGGTTTAAGTGTTCCCTTCTTCCCCAGTTCTCTCAGTGTCAGGACTACTCTCTCCCGAATCCCCTAGCATCTAATGCGTACCTCTGTGTTCCACCCATCTATTGCCATGGAATGAATCACCCCAAAAACAGTGGCTTAGAACAAATGTTTGTGGTGCTATCCTCCCCAAATTCATATGTGGATTTTTTTATTTTTATTTTATTTATTTATTTTTTTTTTACCTATAGGGCACATATGTTCACCAGAGAGACAGAAAGAGAGAGAGAGAGATAGATCATCCCACAAGGAGGGTGGCCACTCTACACTTCCATTTCTTCCAGTCTTCTCTCAGCATTTTGGGTGTACACATACATGTGCCCAGTGTGTTTTTCAAGCTGCTAGGTCCAGAACTCGAACCACACAGTTGGCTATGTGGGATCCAGTGCCACCTGCTGCTGGCCCTGTATGTTGAAATCTTAACCCCCCCAAAGTGATGTTGTTAGGAGATGGGGACCTTTGGGAGGTGACTACGTCATGAGGTCCAGCCCTCATGAATGGGATTAGTGCCTTATAACAGAGTTCCAGAGAGCTCCCAGGCCTCTTTCACCGTGTGAGGACCCAGAAAGAAGATAACTGTCTGCAAACCAAAAAGAGGATCCTCACCAGACACAGAATTTGCTGGTGCCTTGATTTTAGACTCTCCAGCCTCCAGAACTGTGAGAAAGAAATGTTTGTTGTTTAAGCCACCCAATCTATGGCATTTTTTGTTACAGGGCCTAAACTGACTAAGACAAACAATAGCCACTATTTATTTTGTTCATGAATCTGGGACTTGACTGGACTCAGTTTGGGAGTTCTGGCTCAGAATAATCTCACATGTAGTTGCAATCAAGGGGTGACTTGGTGTGAGTTCATCTTAAAGGTTTCTTTGCTCACGGGTCTGATGGTGGAGCCCTGAAGAGTCCAAGACCTTAAGGGTGGAATTGCTGGGGCTACTAGGGAAACCCACTTCTTTCTGTGTGTTTTCCCCAGCCCTAGGTAGCTGGATTTCTTATATGATGACTGAAGGCTCCTGAAGTGAGTGTCCCAAGAGAGTGTCCCGAGAGAGAGTGTCCCAGCAGAACCTACCTGGCCTTAGACGCTACACAGTTAATTTTGCTGCATATATTCACTGAGAGACACAAGGCCTGCTCATGTTTGTTCTTGGGAGTGGAGATCCATAGACTTCACCTCTTGAAGGGCATAGTGACAAAAATATAGCAACTTTTTTTTTCAATTCTTAATTGTGATAAAATAGGCATAACATAAAACTTATCATCTTAATCATCTCTGAGTATACTGTTCAGTGGCATGAAGTACATTCATCTCGTGCTATCATCACCACCAACCATCCAAAGAATTCTTTTCATGTGGCAAAAGTGAGACCCTACTCCTTGAACAATAACTCCCCATACTCCTCTCCCCATTTTCCTTCTCCACCATCCACTAGCAACCACCACTCCTTGAATGGTGAACATTCACTCTGTACGACTTTGACTACTCTAGTACCTCAACTAACTGGAATCATGTCATATTTGTCTTTCTGTGACTGGCTTTGTCACTTAGCATAATGTCCTCAAGTCTCATCCATATTGTATCATGTGTCAAATTTCTTTCCATTGTTAGGCTAATGCCATGCTTTGTTTATTCACTCATCTATCAATGAACATTTGGGTTGCTACCTTCTTTTGGCTATTATAAATGATGCTGCTATGACATGGGTACAGTAGAGGACTTGTTTTAAAATCACCACACTGTTATGGTTACTTCTGACTTCTCAGATCTTTTTCCTCACTGGATCAGAAATACTCGAAGGCAAGAACAGTTAACTTTTGAAAATTCCTAGCATAGGCATAAGAAGTATTTGTTGAGTGAGTAACAGATGGACAAATTGAGGATTACTTCCAATACAAGATGGAAGGCTTCTTTTCTGAAATATGAGAAGGGCCTCAGCATATTGCAGGTGGGATCCTCCCATGATATATGTCCTAAAGGTCCTCACATTTGGGCTCTACTCTTTATTTTAAAATCTGTACTGGATAGTGCGTTTGGCACAGTGAGCATTTTATAAATACAGGTTGAGTTAAATTTGAATTGAGAAATGGGCTATGAATTTATAAGGTGAGTTTCCTTTTTTTTTAATGAGAGAGAGAGAGACAGAGAGAGAACAAAAGAGATAAAGTGTTTTTGTATTTTGACAGGAGGTCTAAATCCTCCTACTTAG